AAGAGGAATTGTTTGGGAACTTACCAACCACCTAGAGGACTGTGACTTTGCTGATGACTTGGCTTTACTTTCACATGCCCAGAAAGACATCCAAGCAAAAACCACAAGAATAGAGCAAATTGCCAAAAGCGTTGGGCTAAAGATAAACTCCGGAAAAACCAAGCTAATGAAAATAAAAACCAAAAGTGCTCTCAAGACCTTTGCGAATGGAGCAGAGCTAGAAGAGGTCGAAGACTTTAAGTACCTCGGCAGCTATATATCAGCAAATGGCAGCATGGAGAAAGAAATTGCCACCAGAATAGCAATGGCTTTCAACAGACTCGCTAAGATCTGGAAATCATCCTTACTGCAGCAGAGAACTAAAATAAGGATCTATAAGTCAAATGTACGTACTGTACTCCTCTATGCTGCAGAGTCATGGAAACTAAACAAGAAAGGAGAGAGCCGACTCAGAAGCTTTGAAAGAAGATCCCTCCAACGCATCCTCAGGATAAAGTGGGACGACAAAGTCCCGAACAAGGAAATATGGCGAAGGACAGGATTAAACGACATTGTCCCAGAAGTTCGAACGAGGAGATGGAGATGGCTGGGCCATGTCCTACGCATGAGCAAAAAAAGACTCCCCAACATGGCGCTGAAGTGGAACCCACCCGGAAAGAGAAATAGAGGAAGACCACTGGGAACATGGAGGAGGGAGATGGAAGAAGAAGTACAGGCTACTGGCAAAACCTGGCATGAACTAAAGTGGCTCGCCCAGGACAGGGTGGAATGGCGGAGATTTGATGCTGCCCTATACTCCATAGGGAGTGATGAGGATTAAGTAAGTAAAGTAAGTATGGAGAGAGGGGTGAGATTACACCGAAAATGCTAAATTGTTGGAAGGGGTGAGGCGACACCCTCAGTAAACTTGCAGGATGACACCCCACCTTGTGACGCCACTAACTTAACAGAATTTTTTTTTTAAGTTTATCGTGATCTATTTAGATTTTAATTTTTTTTTTCTTGCTTTTAAGTTTTCAAATTGATCAATAAGCTAGTTGAGATCTATTTTAGATAATTAGGATGGTCAAATTACTTCTCCAAAGGCGTATCTACAATTTGTTTCATAACATCATCGTTATGAGCAAATAATGAGATTAAAAATTACATCATAGACACCAAAATCTCTTTCTCGTTCACAATGGAATGCAAGAATTTGTATATGAAGCTAGCGTACCCGTACACGCTGCTGCAGCCTACTCGTACATACTAGGGTGACGAAAAAATTAAACAAGGGTTTCATAAACGCGTTACCGATTGTGTATTTTTAGAAGTGTGGCCTTGTTTTCTAAAACTGAGATAGGGGCATAGTAAAATGTAAACGACAACGGCTCTATATTTCTCGGGACATTTGTTGCTAAGGCGCGGGTTTGCTAAAACCACCGCTTATACATCCCAGGGCGTTCTGTATGAAAGTCTTGATTGTATGTTAATTACCCTCCGAAGTGAGGTTGAATACCCATCGGCGATGTTAGTGATAGTGGCGCCGCGTGAGTGACCGGTTACACTAGTGCAGGGAGCAGTGTGCAACTCCTGGTTCGGTTTAATCATCGAATGTAGAGGCCCACAGTGTCCTGTGTGAGGGTGCTCTTTAAAACAAATGTCGTGCCTTAGTGCTCAATGACATCCGTCGCCAAGGGGTGCCTTAGACCTCCTATGCTGAAGTTTGACCTTTGAATAAGTAATGGCCATTACCCTGCAGGACGCTGAATCAACGAATCGCATGCACTCAGCTGATTTAGTCATCAGTTATATTTAGTATCCCTTCGTATCAATGGTGTATGAGGCTCATTTAAAAAATGTATGCGCCGTAGTGCTCAAAAGGGAGCCAGGGGCGCATAGGGTCACATGAACGCAGTGGAGCCGGCTGATGCACCTGAGCAGATTGACCGTTGAATCAAGTAATATATCTGACCCGCTGTGCAGGACGCCCAATTAACGAACCACAGGTGCCACAGGGTAAAAGCTGGTAAAAGCTAACAGCACAGGATTACCGCCGGGGCGCCGCCATCCGGAATTAAAAAAATAATGGCAGAAAACTTTAAAAGGAGTTAGTTTCAGAGAAAAAATGTCTTACTTAAAAAAAAAAACACTGCAAGTAGCGCCACAGTTAAAGATAAATTAGATTAACAAATAAAATGTGATTAAAAATTAAACAAGCAGAAAAGAACATTGAAAATTGGACATAGCTTGTTTTGAAAACAGTGTAACGTCTGTTATCCAAAAAAATGGCTCTACTGTAATCATGGATGTTTAGTTCGATGGAATTTCGGGGAGGGCTGACAGTTGGAAGGGAGGTGTTGGTCTATGGGGTTGGGTAGGTAATTTTCCAGTTACTTGGGTATTGTAACTATGCGTTTGAATCTAAGGTACTGGATGCCAGAGGCGTAGCTGGGGGGGCGGGGGGGGGGGGGGCCCGCCCCGGGCGCCAACTCTAGGGGCCGCCATATGGGTAGAAAAAATGTAAAACTCATTGTAAGCTGCAGTTTTTAATTATAAATAGTCAAAGTTAAGAAATATAACGGCTACGAGCATTTGCAAACTGATTAAACTGTTTTTTACCTTCATTTTGCAACTGTAAAACATATACACCGGGGGAAAAAAGCGCTTTTAAGCTTGCCTAGATGTGGGGGGGGGGGGGGAGGGGGACTGACGCTTTTTTGAAGACTAAAATTGCAAAAAAAAAATAACACTGGATTACCTAACCGTTATCACTTAGAAAAGAAACTTATTGAACCAAAGCGTAATTTAGAAAAAAAAAACAAATTGTATTAAGGCTTAATGTACGATTTCACCACTCAGTTTTGTTAAGAAATGACGCGACTAGTTATTTGTAAAAATCTTACGATTCTGTCAACTTCAACGTGAGAGATCAGGTACTTTTACTTGATTGCATTAATTCTTGTCTGGATAACTCAAACCAACCCCAAAACCTTCCCTGGGCAACCGTCTAAGTATAACTCTGAAAGTTTTTATTGTTTTATTTTGGTGGTATTCGTATCTCCATTTAATTGCATACGTTTCATTAGTCACACATTATACTATTAATTTATCAAAATGCATGCCTTTATTATTATGCTTAATTGCAAGACTAAACATACATATTAACTTGCCCAAGTCATTGTTAGTACCGCGCACACAACATATTTTGTGCACACACACATTAACGTAAACGGAGAGTCCAGACAATTCTGTGAATTCCCGAAATCTATTTTTAGTGCTCAGTAAAAATAGCCATGTAGCTTATACCTAACTGCTCGTAGTTTGTGTGGTATTTATGAATATTTACCTGTATGATAGCCAGAGGGTAACTTACCCTGTAAACTTCGTAATAACATTGTAACCTTTCGCATTATATCAGCTCGATCACAGTTACCTAGATATCTAACCCTTTGGTTTCAAAACCATTATCCAACCCAATTTCAAAGATTTATGAGAATTCCATTTCCTCTAAAAATAGATCGTCAATGACTCAATAGCTTAGATTCCTAGATCTAGACCTACACTTACTGTAGAGAAACTTTTATACCGCGTTTACACTTACGACATGTAGGCTATACTATACATTTCTAGAACACAAAGCCCACCAAAAGTTATTTTTATCTGGAACAATTGTGTCCACAGAACATGTATACTTTAGCGTTCACACTTACAGAACATGTTATAGAGCATTTTATAAAACAAGCATGACCTTTGACCCAGAGCGTCTGTTATATAGGCCCAGAGGCCCAGACAATTAAAATAAAGAGTAATCAGAGTAAAAAAAACAACACGTAGATAGTAGGCTAACAGCTTTATTTTTTTAAAAGGAAAATGGTGTAGCCACGGTGCTTGCGATTCAACAATGAATTAATGAAAAATTAGAGAACATGCAAGATTTTATAAATTTTATTCGAGTGCCAGAAAATGGAGCTAGACAGTTTTTATAAATATAATGCTGTGTATAATACCACGGGTCGTAGACATTGCCCATATGTTATTACCCCTCCCTACCATCCCGCAGTACAATCACCCCTTCCCACCCCAACGTCATGGTAGCCTTTTCCCCAGCTTCTTTGCTTGTCTATATCCTTCAGAAACAGCTTCGGATGAACAGGGCTGAATATTTGTTTGTTGAAAGGCTCTATTTCTTCGAAAACTTGGATCTGCCAAGTTCATTAAACGTATTGAGATCGCCTTTTTTACTGAGTCTATTATTAAGAAAAAAGTAGATCTAGTTTTTAGAGTAGGGCCTATGTGACACTCATTCCCCCTCCCCCTTCCTTTCTTTAATTTTGTCCTATTCTAAACCTAAATAATTAGCCTTTACTTTTTTATCTGCCTGTTTTTATAGTCAGTTGATTATGACTTATGTGTGATCTCACGAGCACGGTACATTCTGGTGGGCCTAAAGATTTATTCATGTCAGTCGGAAACTGAAAAATATGTTGATACACTTAAAACAAAATATTGGTTAAGGAAAAATTGAAGTTACATTTGGTAAAATTATATTTTTTTATTAGGCCCTAATTATTATTTTCGTAATTAATACCTAAACTGGATTTAAAGCAAAATTGTAATGTCTTTGACATTACATTTTTTTTAAAATTAAAACTTGTTTGGGATTTAATCAAAGAAATAATAAGTAATTATAAAAATGTAATTTTTAGTAGGGCCTAGAGAAGTTATAAATTATGAAATCGTGGGCTAAAAAACTCAAGATCAGTATAGCCTATTTATTTTGCAATCAGCTGAGACCTAGGGCCATGGATGCGCTTACTACTTTTCGACGCATGCGCACTCAACTGAAAATTCGGAACATGTACTATGTTTTCGCTCAGCGAGCGTAGACAAAAACTTGACCCAGAACATAAAAAGGGGCGTTGTTTTGTGCCCTGCGACTCAGAAGATGTTCCATATACTCGTAACATGTTTAGTATACACTTTAGTAGGTCAAGTATAGTATACATATCGTAAGTGTAAATGCGGTATAATCGGAAACGCTAATCTAGGCCTAGACTAGTCTAGATTTAGACTCAGAAATGGACACTGTATTTCTATTACTTGATGTACTACTATTACAAATTTTAATCATAAACTGTAAGTTCCTTTTCCTTATAGATCTAGATCTAAATTCTAAATATTTTTAATAAAAAAAAACTAAATTCTAAAAGAATGCTTTATAGAATTATAATAGATAGATTCTAGATCTAGATCTAGATTCTAGCCCTCATGTCATATTTGCAATATTTTGTATCGAATCCACTCCCACTGTCTAGCTAGTCTAGCTATTTAATTATTTATTTAAACGAAGATTCCATATAGAGCTAGATAGGCTAATATTACTAAAGAAAAATATCAGTGTTTCTTCCAGACTTTTTTCTCCGGGAGGGAGGGAGGGGGCACTTGAAATTTTCGGGGGGGGGTGGGTGGGGGGGGGGGGGGGGGGGGGAGGTAGACTTTCTTTGGGGGGGGGGGGGCGACACTGTTAAATGTATATATTTTCTATATAAATTTCAGAGCCCCCCCCCCCCCCCAAAGTGATGCCTGGAAGAAACTTTAGTTGATACAAGAACTTTTACACTCAAAAGCCCCCCCCCCCCCCCCCCCCCCCCCCCCCAAAAAATTCTACCCTTCCCCCCCTGAACGAAATGAAATTTATATAATTATAATTTATATAAGAAAATATATACTTTTAACAGTGTCCGCCCCCCCGAAGAAAGTCCACCGCCCTTCCAAAAATTTCAAGTGCCCCTCGGAAGAAACACTGCTCACACTTCATTTCAAAGAATTGTCCTATCCATCACCCCCACCCTTTACACAAGTCCATGACACAATGCTCTCAGTCAGTAAGCTAGTATAAAAATGTTGTGATTTTAAAATGATTACTAGATTCTATCATGCCTTAATTTTTGCATGATAGCTTTTTGTATAAAAAATAACTACATTTTGGCAAGGATGTAGATCTAGTTATCGGCCTATCATAGTTCATAACTGTAGGCTATTAGTAAAGTCCTTTTTTTTAACATAATGGTCCATTGGGCAAGTGAAGTAGAGTTCACCTGTTTTGTGACTTTGGTATATGAAGGGATAGTGTGGTCTGCACTTTGCCCATGTAAGCTATTGGAATAATAAAAATATTGATCGAAATAAAAATGTAAAGTATAGTGAGCATTATATTGTAATTGTTTAACAAATAAAATTGTCCCTTCTTCCTAGTGTATAATTTTATAAAGGCTTTTACCACAAAAGTTTTCTATTATTTTATTTTTCAAATAATGTTTTGTAAAATTTTACTACAATCGCCCAGCTAAAAATATTGGCTTACCAAATAAAAAGTGTATAAAAGCTCAGAAAATTAAATACAGGAAACTAATTAATTTAAAATTTAATTAAAGCTCCAATTAAGTCAAATTTTATGTTGCATTGCCATTTACTCTTTAAGTAAGTGTAAAGTTTGAAAGAAATCAATCCAGTCACAGTGGTCAAAATTTCGCTTGCAATTTATTACGAAGCAAAAAGTAATAATCATTAAGCACAAAGAATAAGTGAATAAGCTAGAAAAACCTTTTGAAAATCAATAAATAATAATTTAGGGATATGGCCAGGTATAAGGTGAATCAAGAGAGCCAAATTCATAATAAAATTGCCAATCCTTCACTATAACAGGTGCATGACCCATAGGAATACTACCTTATGTGCTTGAGGCATATGAATACCTACTGTGTTGATGCTAGGATAGGTCAATCAGATAGAGGTTAGCAGAAACAGACTATAGCGAGTTGGTTAGAGAGACCAATGAAAGTTCAGGAGCTGACCCATCATGTGGGACAGTCAGCTGACCACTGAAGCGTGGGTCAGTAGTTAGATTAGAGGTGTTAGTGTTAGGTAGCGATTATAGACGGTCATAATATGTAGAGCTAGGGAACAGTTAGGATTGGTCATGGGTGTGCGTAGCTAGTAGTAGTAGTAGATAGTATAGGATAGGCTAGTTAGGTAGGAAGTTGATTCTGTAATAAAGAACATTATATTTTGACTTGGACATGAACTTGTGTGTGTTGGATCTTTTCATCATATTCATCACCCCCACTCTCACATTTGGTGGTTGCTGTTGTTCCCCCACGCTCACAACTAGTGGTGAAAGATCTACCCTGCAGCTCGCTAGGGACTAATTAACTCATTTCTATAAATTATAGTACCTACATACTAATTATGATAATTTGTTTTATTCACAACACAGATTTAACCTTCAACTGAGATAATAAAGATATATTAGTTAAAATCATAACTGGTACATATCATATAGATTTATTATGGATTTGAATATGCATTTGTCATTTTGATGCACTTTGATTTATCAATGATTTATTATAGGCCTATACCTGTTGTTTACTTTGTTAATTTACAACAGTCACCCTTTGAATAATCCTAAATTTAAAATAAAATTAGTGACTATAATTACCTTTTTTTATTTTTATTTTACTTTCTACAAACAAGGTGTCAATATAAATCTTGATGAATATAACAAGCAGTACAGCAACACAAAATGCAAGAGCTCGCTCATTATAAACAAAGATTATTTTGTCATGAAAGGATCAGTGGATTTCTCAGATGCTGGTAGCTCATGGGATAAAACAGTAACTGTACAAACCCGAAACTCAAGCACAAATGATTTTAAAGAGGTAAATAAAAATGATATTTATATGTGCGAGATATGTAGCACACAGGCATTGAATTCTTTTTTTAAAAAACATTTTAAAATAAAAATCACTGATTTTATTTTGTAAATTAAAAGAATGTACAAGGCTTATACATTTTATGTAACAATTTTTAAAAAAAGTTATGTTTAAATCTCTCAATTATCATGTGTAAGAAAAAAGCAATTAAAATCCATCTGACAAAAAAAAATGGTAAAATTGACTAAAATAATCACAAATACTATAAATATTTTGTGTGAGATATTTTGTCTTAGATCATTTATCCATAACACAATTTGTCATGATATATTTTATCTTGATATCATTTCTCTGTGTAATAATTTGCCCTGAGATCATTTGTCATGGAACCGGTTGAACACATGAAGGGGAGATTGTTCATAGTTAAAAACTGTAGCAGGCACAGACACATTGATGAGATAAGACAACACAAACACAATTATATTTAATTATAGGAATTCAGGTTTAAGCATATCAGATTTACCTTAGTTCACCTTTTACTAATTTGGAACATACTACTTCATAATTGCTGTGGCTCACCCTGTCTCAAAGAGTAGCATACTTTACTACACTTTGTAATATATACTATGTTGTGTAAAATTAAACAAAACAACAAATCAGTATTGACTGGTGATGCATAAAATAAAATGCAAAGGTTCTACTTTATTAAAATATGTGTATTTTAAATAAATACAATCATCTTAGATTAATGTTACTGAATCCTTGTTTGTATTTGTGTACTGGAAGCTTACATTTGTAGTTATTTATGTATTATGTATTGTATTTCAGCTCTAATTATAGTATACTTTGTTTTAAATAAATTCATACTGTAGGCTTATCATACATTACTGATCACTTTTAATGCAGGAAAACCTACTAGTTTTTCTGTCACATTGAATGTGTAAATAATTTAAGCCTGGCATTACTACTTTCATAATAAACAATATAGGCCTAATATTAACACATTTATTATTAGCAAATATTAAAATATGTATTTAAATATCCATTAACACAGTTTATATAATTACTTAAGAAGATGATCTTTTAAAATATTCTTACTGCAGATTTGCCTTATTTCTACATCTGCCACGGAAAATAAGGTCACACCTGATAGCTGCTACTGCAACGACTGTTCAGGTGACATTAAACATTTCACAATCAACAGAACTGCAGGAATGCAGTACAGTAAAGCTGAAATAAAAGTTATAATTCAGTCTTCAGATGGTGGTCTCAACAAAAACACTATTAAAAATTTACCAGAAATGATTTGTAAGTTTGCTGCCATTACTCTTAAGGGCATGGGCGGGTGATAAAAACCAAAGTAACCAAAATGCATATTTATAAACCTAATGCTATCATATCTAGCATATAGTTATAAATAAAAGTTAAGTCTAAAAATAAAAAGCTGGCCAACAATTTCTGCAGTTGCCTTGGTGATGGCAGCCATATGCTAACTATGATAACCTTATGCTAAATATTATAGCATTCTGTTTAGAAATTAGCATTTTGGTTATTTTGGTTTTCATCACCCGCCAATGCCCTTAAAAACAATACATTTATTTCTGTGCTTGTATTGCAATAAACTATTGTATCATGCATTCATTTAATCTCATATAATTTACCAACTTATTATTGTCAATAATATATTTAGGTTTTATTGTTTATACACAACTGATGTATAATTACTAAAGAATATCATCGTTTAAAGCGGATATTGTTACAATTTAACACCTGCTTTCATTAATATGCTGGGAGGAAAAAAAGTGCTTCTAAGTGGCTAATAATTTAAATGACTGAAATAAAATCCAGAGAGGCTTTCCCTAGACCTTCACTGTTTACCTCAGTAATGAGGTATCACGTGAATTAGCTTCAATATGAACATCATCAAATCATTTATTTTTATACAGTCAAGCCTTGGCTGTTATTACTACTTTTTTAGGTATTGAAGTAAAAAAATAGTTTTAACTACTTTATTTTTTACCTCTATTTTTATCTACAATTGAATATATAAATTATAATTTCCCTTAAAAGCATCCATCTATAACTCCTCCAAGTTTGTGACTTGTCTTCAGAGAAGACTAATATTCAATTTTTAAAGTCAATTTAAAATACAATGGGAATACATGGAAGGAGGTATTTGATACTCACATAGCATTATTGACAAAAAGTGTTCATTCAATGCTAAAGGTAGACACAGGTACAGAATATATTCAGTCACAAATTCATAAAGTACCTCTATTTTATAATGCACATTTTAATATTTTTAACTAGATTTATTAATGGTTTTCTTCAAAGCTATCCCTTCATTTGGTTTTCTTTATTGTAATATTTGATACATATTGTTTCTATATAAAGCTCATTCAAACTGATTGGGTTATGCAATTTTTCAAAAATTTCATGGTTAAAACAAAATTAATTTTTAATAGCATCTGTATTCTTTAGTAAAGTTCGATTGTATGATATTTTTAAATGTGTATAATATTGGTTAAATTACCATTCAAATTCTTATTTTTCAGCTTTAGATAAAACTACAAGCACACTGTCAGCAGATGGCAAAATATTAACACATGAAAACTGCTGGCCAAATTCAACATTGACAGCATCTGAAATTAGATTGTGTTGTCGCTCTGGTAATGAGCCTTGCACTTCTGTCATATATAAGAATGGTGTAAAGTCTAGTGGTGGCAGCTGCACTGATGTTGGGCTGATTTCTTCTGAAATTGCAAATCTGACCTTTGAACTTGAAATTTGTGGTGAAGTGCTCCAGACAGCCATTCATTCCTGTAAGATAGAAGGAAAAACTGCTAAAGATAATGGTAAACTGTTTATTGCATAAATTACAAGCAATAGTATTACTCAATATGTAGGCCTACCAATTATTTCTATTCTTTATTGCTTATGATTCCTCCAAAAAGCACAAGTCTCAAATTAGGTTGGTATTTGTTTCCGATATTAAAACTTTTTCTTAAGTCACTTCTAAGGAATGATGGCAATAGATTATTTGTATATACGTGAGCATTAATTATCTGAACTAACTAAAATCATTTTACATTGTTTGAGATTGGCTTGTTTTACAGCCAACTACCAATTAACTGAACATACACTTGGAAATATTTAACGTTTACTTCTATACAACACATTGGTGTGAATTTCATTTTATAGTGTGTTTAATTTAAAACTACATTTTTGTTTAACAGGGCCAACAGATTATACAACTCGGATCATAGTTGGTGTGCTTGTACCAACAGGCACAATAATAATAATAATAATCATATTCATATTCAGAAAAAAGATCAAAACTTTGTGGGAAGGTGAGTTGAAACTAATATTAGTTACACAGATGTATGCACACGTGAACTTCATTCAGAATCAGCACTTTTACGGGATCTGAAAATTTAGCCAGATACCGAAATTTAAATACTTAACCTTACCTAATTTTACCACAACGGAAGTTTATTTGGAACTGACGTTCTGGAAACTCACATTTAACCAGTAATGAAATTTAGTTTAATACAGTACTGTATCCAGAGACGAAATTTGACTCAAATAGAAATTTAACCACAACTTTAACCACAACCTGAAATTTAACTGAAATAGGAACCTTAACAGGTTCTAAATTTAACTGGAGACAGAATTTTATTCGAAACCGACATTATAACCTGAACTTTTTGGGTAATTTATTATATATCTGCATAAATTTCTAAAATTGGACATTTTTTTTTGTCTCTATTATCAATTACCTTACTATTATCGTGCATCATTTTCGGCTTGCCATTTTAAATTCTATATTTTATTCTTTGGGGGTGGGAGTGGACAATGGTAAAATTATGTATTTTCTTTATAAATTATAATTTGTTCGTTGGAGATGGGGGACGCTGGTAAAAGTAAATATTTTCTATATAAATTATATTTAGTTCGGGGGATGATGGACGCAGCAGATATTCTAGGATTAGACAAATAAATAAGGCGGTAATTATCACCAATCAATTAGATCATTATTTATGTGGAATTTTGTTTTGTTTTGAAAATTCCCTATTTGTTCCATGTGGCTTCATGTTCAACGGAAGTTTAGTTTTTTGCTTGTCTATGCAAGTTTTTATTTTCCTTGTGTTTTCTCTAGAGCGTTCACACAGACAGACAGACAGAATAGCATAACTATTATAGTGGTGCATTTTATACAGTTTTTTAATTTAGCTATTTACCTTACAAAATCTCTGAATTAATATGTTAAATTAAACATAAAAAGAGTCTAATTGTTTTTTTATTTGTACTCCACATCTATTTTTCTAACTACCATTTCAATAATTTTAATTTTCTAAATGCTGCATAGTTAAATAACATATCCTAATATATAAAAGCCCATGTGCAAACTTCTCTGTCTGCATGTCCCGAGCCTAAGAGATCAGTATGTTCAGCGATATATGGAGAACTTAAAGATACAGATTTTTATTGAAAATAATATGTTGGATGTTTTAAATGTATAAACTATTTTTTATTTAAAGAAAGAAAATAAAAACAAAGCAATATTCGAGTGTAGAAACACATTTTTAATTATGCAACTGGTAAAGTGTTTATAGTAGTGAATGCAATAAATAATGACATCACCTGCCACATGTTTAAACTACAGATACAACACTAACGGGGTCATTTTCCAATTTTAGAATATGAAGAAATTAACTTTTTTAGTCATATTTGATTTAAATCTAGATTCTATAAATCTGCTTATCAAGACATGTGCTATGAATCTACTTATCAAGACGTAGGCTATGAAATGTAGACAATTTTATTTGTCAAACTAATACAAATTACTTTAAAAAGCAACACAATGACCATTGAACAACCAGATTTTTAACTGAATCATTTATGTTTCTTAATCAGTATGTGCATTTAATATGTTGTGTTAACTAATAATGTATATGATTTGATTTTAATTTTTCTAATAGGTATTAGTAGCCTATGTTATTTTAAATGTTTCAGATTTCTAGCTATTTAGTTATTTCTTTATTTTGTCCTTAATATCATTCAACGTGTAGTAAAGCACATAGCGTTTTGACAAATAACTGTTTTATAAATTATTTTCTCCAAATAAGTACAACACTAAAAAGATATAGGACTATAAATCACGTAAAACGGGTACCCATGGCTAGTGTTCTATAATTGTATTCTACTTTTCTTTTTATTTAAAATATATCCTTTACACATCATGTATATAATTTTAAAAATAATTATGTTAAGCAAATGCAAAGTGAGTTATGTTTTTGAAACAGTCTTTTTTGTTAGCTAGGTTTTGATATTAATATAGAACCTATAGAACAGAACAAAGTTTAACTTTCTAGTAAGAGAAATTTTCTTTATTGAAAGAATTCACATTCATTGTAGATCTTCCTTTATGTTAACTAAGATTTAACTTGGGACAAATATCATAGTTTTTGCTTTACTTAAACTTAGTTTGTCTCAAGAACAAAAAATATTTGGAAGTTAGCAAATAAATAGCCTTTAAAAAAACAGAAGTGCTGCTTAATAATAGAAAAGAGAAAGCTTTTAGTGATTTACTTGGTAAACATGTAGTTCAAAATATTGTCCATAAAGGATATAACACTCTTGATAAGGGAAAGGGAGAATTTGAACTTGTGTGTTTATGTGTGATAAGGGGGATGTCGGAGTTTCAGAAAAGGGTTTCTCACACTTTTATATTATTAAAAGGGAATGTTGTAATCTGAATTTTAACTGTTACTTTGCATTTTAAAATGGTATTTTTGTTAATCATTGTTTTTCAAATGTATCAGTATACTCTATGTTGACTGACCTGTGAAATTTTTTTAGTAAATTTTAAATTAAAATTTTATTAACTTTTTTTTTATTCATGTAAAATTAAAAGGCTGTTTTAAGAAGAAGAAGCATCCCATTCAAAATCAAGATGCACTTCATGAAAGAAAACCACTCAAGTAGGTGTAAGAACAGTCATATTAACATATATAAACATAATATAAACATAGTGATTTTGACTAGTTTAATGTTTTCTTTAACAAAGTAGTATTTAAAAAATATATAAATGAAATAATTATCTAAGTGTAGAATAGTTTGTTGACTTTAACGGCTGTATGAAACATTTAAAATTTTTTCATTTAGCTACCATTATAGTAAATTTAAAGTCTAGGCAGAAAGGCATAGTGTTGACCACGTTATCCCATCTAGTGCCAAAAGTCACATTAACTTTAACTGGTGAATTCTATTTTCCTCATTGACTCTAAGGTTTTGAAAGGGAACTTTACTTACTTTTAGTATAGTTATGTTTATTCATCCATATGCAAAGGAAATAGTACAATAATAAAAACTAACAGAAAATAAACCGGGAGTGATCTCCCCTAAACTTTCTCGAATATTCTTATATAAAACAACAGGGGATGGGAACCCGGGCTATAGACATGATTTTTAATCCATTTTGAATACTTAAAGTTTTAAAAATAGAATAAAATCTAGTAGACAAAAGAATTGCACATCAAGTTAACGCCAAATCAAAAAGTGCATAATAGTGCGCAATATTATTAGTACTTTAAAAATTTACATTAGTTTTTTGAGAAATCGGAAGTAGCGTAAATTACTACTTCCGGTCAACGGAAATTACTCAAAATTTAACAGAAGGTAGAGAATTAGATCTTTTACATACATGTGATATTTCATTTATCTATCTGAAATAGTACTCAAGTTATAGGCTTTTGAAAAATTCAAAGTAGAAAAAATACCACTTCCGGTTATCGGAAATCGCTCAAAAGTTGATACGGATCTACGATTTTGATAAAATACTTATATATGAAATTTCATCAACCTAGCTTTAACGGTACTCAAGTTATCGTGTTTACACACGGACAGACAGACAGACATACGGACAGAATTGCAAAGTCCAGTTTTTCAGACTGGATTACGCATAAAACCTCTTAAATTTGATAAATCTGGATTGATAATTTTTGCCCGATTAAAATAAGTCCTCTATTCTTCGGATGTGATGAAGGACTGAGGTGTAATACGGTGAAAATTGTTAAAATTTCAAGTGATTTTTGTGCACGATTACAATACTTTCTCTATACTTCGTATATACGAGAAAGTAAAAATGAAAAATATGATCAATGTATTTAAAGAAAATCTATACAATATAGAAAATCAAACCTAGTAGCAGAAATATGACTACTTGACTACAGCTGTGCTATGAACACAATTTTCTTAACAGAATACAATACACTACATAATATTTTCTTTATTTCCCTACTATATGCATTATACACTGGTTATAAATGTAGTATGAACTGTAATATTTAAACCCTACAGTAACTGCACCTTCACTTACAGAGAACTGTATGAAAATGTATAGTATTGTGTCAGTGGCCTATCTGGTGATTTTGGTGCCATTTGCAGCCAAGTCATCTCAGCCATCATGACTAGGCTAGTGAGAGGATAAGTCCAAGCCACTTCATTGACACAAAAAACATAAGGCTATCTAAATTATCTAAAGACCCAAACATAAGTCACCTCGGGCGCCTTCCCATCGCTATGTGTCATGCATGCACCTGCATAGAGCTCGTAGCCTTTAACCATAAACTAGTGCTGATAACATTTAATTAAATTTTAGATTTTCCCTGGCCTGCTAATCTTAGATTAACCTTTGGGTTTTTGCAACTAGCACCTAGTCACTTACTATTTTACGTTAGAATAAACAATAGATTAACAGCCAACATTTGTATATATGTAAAATATATTGTAAGAAATAATATTTTTTTTTATTTTTAAATAAAATAATTATTTTTGAATAGCCTAGTTTGGTGGCTTTAATGGCTTCATAAACCATTTTAAAAATTTTCATTTAGCTACCTATTAAACTAAAGGGAAAATAAAGTTAGCAGGACATAGCGCTGACCACACTTTCCCTTCAAATGCCAGAAGTCACAGAAACAAGTAAACTCTACTTTACTTGTTCCATTTTTTTTTACTTTATGGTTGTATGGTTGTATTTGTTTTTGAAAATTCAACAGAAATATAAAATAAAAACTAAAATTACAATGAAAAGAAGATCTGCATATATAAGAATAATCTTTTAAATATTTAAAATCAAATATAGTACCAAAAATGTTTTATTGACAACTTGAAAATAGCTGTGCTGTGCACATAATTTTGTTAAACATAACACACAACATTACACAATATTATCCTTACTATCCCTCTATGAATCATAAACTGCTTCCAAATATAATAAAAACTGTGAGATTTAAACCCTACAGTTACTGTACTTTAATTTGCAGAGAATTTTATTAAAATGTATAGTATTGGGTCAATGGCCTATCTAGTGTTTTTGTTACCATTTGCAGTCTTTTCATCTCTGCTATCATGACTAGGCTAGTGAGAGGACTTGTCAGAGCCATTATGTCAAGTACTTCAGATTGGCATAAAAACATTAAACTATCTAAACGTGTTATAATTTTAATATGGAAACTAATTTTGATTCTTCATCTTTCTAATAAACATTTGGCCTAGCACTGCTGTAATGATTCAAATGTCTTAAGTTTAAGTTTAATAAGTGTTGTTTGATTGAAGGACAGAGGACATCCTGGAAGCTAAGTCCCTAGTCGACAGACTAATGGCAGCTGTTCGTAAGGTGACGCACACAAAGCTCACGAAGAAGGAACTTGATTGTCTAGAAGAGGAGTTTGTAGACATCCTAACCCAGAAACAACAGTCATTGAGAAAAGCCTGCTACAGGTGCGGGTCCGAGGAGCACTTTTTCCATGACTGCCCGAGGAAAGCTGAATGGCAACGGAAACAGCAGCAGGGAAACGCCAGTTCATCAGCATTGGATAGCGGATGCCAAAGCATGGGGTTTGAATCTGTTGACAAAATTAATGTTTTCTTTAACTAAGTAGTAAATTAAAAACCCTACAGTTACTGCACTTTGTAATTTGCAGAGGAATTTATTAAAATGTATAGTATTGGGTCAATGGCCTATCTTTGTTTTTGTTACCACCTGCAGTCTTTTCATCTCTGCTATCATGTCTAGGCTAGTGAGAGGACTAGTCAGAGCCATTATGTCAAGTACTTCAGATTGGCGTAAAAACATTAAACTATCTAAACATTGTTTAATTTTAATATGGAAACTAATTTTGATTCTTCACCTTTCTAATAAACATTTGGCCTGGCACTGCTGTAATGATTCAAATGTTTTAACAGGACTATTCAGGTCAACGCACTAATGGCAGCTGTTCATAAGGCGACGCACGAGATGCTCACGGAGGAGCAACTCGATCATCTAGAAAAGGAGGTTACAGACATCCTATCCAAAAAGGTTAGTGTTGTTTTTCTTTTAATCGTTTAAGTGATTATATACAAAAATTTATTCCCTTCTTTGTTCAATCCTTTTCCTGAAATATTCAAATTTACTAAACTAAAAATTTCTTGGTTCCGACTGTCAAATAAGTATGTTGTTTTTTTTTAAAAATTGAGAAACCACATTTTTTAAAAGAAAAAGGTTTATTATTCGATGTTTAAAACATTCAAATGAAATCATATGTTATCATAAAGCTGAAATCTGTATTAGCTATTTTTCTAGACCTGGCTAAACAAATTTATTTCTCACCTTATGCAGAGTTTATTCTAAAATAGAAGGGACGGAGTGGTCTAGCATCAGAGAGCTGGACTGCTAACCCGTAAGTCTCGAGTTCGAATCTGGGTTCAAATCAGTAGACCGTCCCTGAGTCCACCCAACTCTGATGGGTACCTAACTCACGTCAAGTATAGGTGGCTGGGCGTAGTGCTGACCACACTATCTCTTTATATGCAGAGGTCACAGAAACAAGTGAACTCTACTTCACTTGCCCCATAGACCGTCAGGTTTGAAAAGGGAACTTTACTGACTATTCTAAAATAGCAATAAGCATATAACAATTATTAATTGAATCACATGTAAAAAGTTGAAACCTTGAGAAAGCTAATTATTGTTAATTAACCTCTTCCAGTTAATTAACCTCCTGATATTACACCTTAGATTGATTACCCCTTTTTCATTTAACTCTGTCCCTGTTCCCCATTTAAAAGAATGCTAGCATTGTTCAATCAACTCAACAATAATGTTTTGTTATTACTTATTTGAGTTAATGGTTACTTTAAATTCTTTGTGAATACTATATTAAAAAATCCTTAATAAAAACAGTCTGGAAATGTTGTAAAAAACCTATTTACTAATTTAATAAATAGTGATGTATATATATATATATATATATATATATATATATATATATATATATATATATATATATATATATATATATATATATATATATATATATATATATATATATATATATATATATATATATATATATATATATATATATATATATATGTATATTATTAATTTTAGTTTTAAAAATGGTACCTGCACAACTTTGAGTGCTTGACCAAACATGGATATATTTTGTAATAAGATGTGTCTCTAAGTAAATGATTTTTTTAAAATATGTAGTTAAAATTTAAGGAGGAATATATTCTATCAAATAACAAAAATGCTATATTAGTTTATACATGAACACTTTTTATTTAGTATTCTTTTTTTTCAATTAGAATTGAAAGACAGTTCTGAGAGACTGACTGATTCAACTCTACAACAACAAAATGTCAATGCAAACAGACCTGATGATCAGAGTCAACCAGATGAAAATAACTATCTCAGAGAAGTTTAAAAATAGGCATGATAAAAAATATTGTAAAAGATTAAATGTTTAAGTGGACATGCAATAAAAAATTATTTGATTATGCAGTAAGAAGCAGAAATAAATGATCTTCTTTAAATATATGCACCACTAATCAAATAACTATTAAGAAAGTGTAGGTTGCTAAATAAATTGGAGTAAAGGTATTAAATAGATAATATACTTTACTTTTCTTCAGATTTTCTTACAGACATACTTGACTTAGTCCTCTTTAATCTTTGAGGAGCATACGGCCTAAACAGTAATCTTTACTTTGTTTCCCTGTAGTCTTTAGTTCATAGAGAAGACTATGTTATTCTTGGGCACTTTTTCTTTCCCCTTCCCTGGGTTTCCACTCAAGCACATGTTGTGTCACAATATTGTGTACCTTTTTCCTTTACAAATGATCAGGCTTTTGTTGTTTTGGTCTGAAAATTTAGAAGTTAGAATAGAGCAACTATTTAATAGATTACCAGAATCTAGCAGCAATTTAATTTTACAATTTTGAATCTGTGTTCAATAAAACAGACAATGTTGTTGACATTGTTGTAACCCAAACGTCTAGAAGTCCAATGTCTATCTTGATGCAATAGAATGTCTCACTCAGAGTTGTCACTAGTGGCCATCTTTCTTGTGTCTGTGTAAGTAAAACATAGTAAAACAAAAAATTGAGCTGTTTATGCATGCTTGCATGAATGTACACAATATGTTATTAAACCTTATAACTTTTTTATTTTAGGTCTCTAAGTCAAATTGTATGTAATATTATGAATATATATTTAATATATATTTTAATCATGTTTAAAAGATAGATCTGATTTAAATTCAAAAACAAATTTTGAATAATAAATTTTAACCAATCATTATGTAAAACAGATACCTTATTTTTCATAATTTGCTCATGAAATAAGTATCCAGTCTTTAGTATAATTTACAATGATTAATAACTTGGACTAAAATTAGTACCTTCAGTAAAAGGTTCATTGTATAACTGACTTCTTAAACTTTGAAGAACATATAAAAGTCAACTTTTGTTATTCAATGCAATTACTGTGCCAACACTGTTAAGAGTTTGAAAGTCAGATATTTTTAATGAAGTGTCTAATTCGCTTTGTATATTATCTAATTCTCTGTTATTTTTTTAAACATTTTCTATCAATCCTTAAAATAATGTTTTTATTCATTCCCAAAAAAAAATTAGCAAACAGAAAAACTTGCACATACTAACTTTTTTACTGGTCAAATTTTGTAAAAAAAGGTTTTATTATGCTTCATTGTGCATGTGTTCATTCATTGCTAAAGTCTTTACATTATACATTTTTTTTAATACATCCCTTGCACACTTTGTTTTTCTAAGCTGTTTTTATTTGCAAATTCTTATTGCACATTTTTCTGGACACCATTTTGCTTCAATATTAATGTGCCTTGTTTGGTTAATTTACAAATAAATTACTTGCTTTTAAGTGCAATATCTAATAATGAATATATTGGAATAAAAAAAATCAAGTTATGTCATGAAGCTTGTTTATGAATATTGAAAAACAATTGCTTTATTGTTTTAATTACATGAGTAATTAAAATTTGATTTTATGCATATTTTAGGAACTTTTAATACAATTTATGCACTTATTTTTAGCTCCAAAAGCTCTCCCATAGGAAATTGCATATTCAAACTTAAAGCGTAGTATTATTAAAACATGTGCATTATAAAATTTTATAGTGGTCTTATGTATAAATTTTCTACTGATTACTGTATTATTTGTTAGCACTTTTTTAAATAATAAAATATAGCTTGTAAAAATAATTTTAAAAACTTAGCCTTACAGTAATGTAAATAAACTAGGTTTAACTATGACCAGCAGATATTATAATTTGTAACGATTAAACTAATTTTACATACAGTATTAATTTCTTTTAAATTAAATTATAATGGGTTAAAGAACTCTTTGAAAAAAAATGAAACAAACATTTACTGAACTCTAGAAACAGATGAGCTCTACTGCATCTGTTCCATGGACTGTCAGGTTAAAAAGGGAAACTTAATTTTTGCAATAAATCAAAGCCCTACGTATGAATGGTGTAGTAAGCTACAATAAATATTGCTTTGAATGTATTAATTCATGCTTTAAGTAATTTGTGTGAGTTAAATGTATATATTAGGTTTTGAGTTTGAATACCTTTTAACATTGCAGTGTGGCAAAACACTTGTTGCTAGGGCAACTAAATTATACTTTTAAAAGGTTTTGATTCTACTAATGAATAATGTAGAACACCAAATGACACTTTAGTGTTATTGATTCATCCTATTTCTCTGTATTTCTGATAACTGTATGACAACACTTTCAATATGCTTTTTTAATATGCTTTATGCTTTAAATACATATTAGGTTTTGAGTGTTAATAAAGATTTTTTTTTTAGTTTGGCAAAAACACATCTTGTAGGTCAAAGCAGTTAAAAAAAAGAATGAATATGTTGACATAGTTTTATTTTCAACTTTCAATACATGCTTTAGTAAAATGTTTGTTTAAAATTAAAATCAATGTATGAAGGAATCTAAAATTATCTTTACCTTCGAGTTTTATACTGTCAGGTTAATTATTAATTATTACTGAGTTTTATGATTATGGTGATTAAAAACTTTTAGTATTTTTTTTTTTAAGTTTTTAATAATATTAAAAGTAGCTTTTTGTGCTCTACATTAATTTAGGTAAATGGAGATTTCTAATTATATGTGGCTTATTACAGTTAAAGTTATATAAAAGTTTTTTATGTTCCTGTTAAAATATAATGTATTTTTTTTTCATTTATTAAATTCCTGTTTATTCTAATAAACATTTTTGTACAAATATATTTATATATATATATATATATATATATATATATATATATATATATATATATATAATTGTAAATTTAAATCTACACATTTTAAAATCAATAAAACAAGAAGTCATATTAATTTTTTTTATTTAAATGTTTTTTGTGGCCATAATTAAATCAGAAACACCTTTTAACCATTTTGATGCTTTTTATTGTTGTTTAAAATGTATTGTATCTGGAGTCAATAAATATCCCAGCAAATACACTGAGAATTTTCAGCTTGTTTTTGTTACTGTTACTGCAGTTAATAATAGTTACGTTTCTCTTAATACATAGACAGAAAAACAACTGCATGTAATAGATTGAGATAATTGTATTGGTATTATATTTATATTGTTATCTTGAGTGATGTCCCTTACTTGTGTCTCTCGTCACTTCCGTCCTTGCCGGTTAACAATTAAAGCTGTTTACATACTCATGGCTTCTGTCTCCGTTGTATTCATAATCTATCTCATTGGCGACGAAGGATAAACATCTACTAGAAAGAGCACCTACTTACGCAAAAAAGAGGTTTGCTAGAGCTTATTAGCTAATTATTTCTAGAATTATGGCGCTGTATGGCCAAATAAAACAATTTGATGCGAATGATGAAATCATTCAAGATTACCTAGAGAGGTTAAGCTTTTACCTAGAAGCTAACAACGTGACGATAGAAGCCAAAAAGAGAGCTGTTTTGTTAACAGTCATAGGGCCTCAACAATTTAGGCTACTAAAGGACTTATGCGCTCCAGCTAGTCTAAATACCAAGAGCTTTAACGAGCTGAGCAAATTGCTAACAGACCACCATGCGCCTACCCCATCAAAGTTTTTATGTAGAGCTAGATTTGACAGTAGGACTCGTCAACCAAACGAGTCAATATCAGAATATGTTGCTGCTTTACGTCATTTAAGTAGATTTTGTGAATTCGGCGAAACGCTGTCTGACAGACTGTGTGAAAAGTTTGTGACAGGTGTAAACAGCCCTGATATTCAAAGAAAGTTGCTGCTCGAGTCAGATTTAAAATTGGAAAAAGCAATACAACTTGCAACCTCATTCCAGCAGTCATCAGATGCGGCGAAATCTCTTACGCCTTCAGGGATCCATGCAGTAAACAGCAGGTTAGTCAATAAACATCAACCCCATCAGAGCATTCCAACTTATGCTAAACAGCCTGCTCGTTCAAATCCTAGATCTAAATCTAGTAATAATTATCAAAAATGTTATCGATGCAAAGGTCCCCATGCATCTCATCGGTGCAAGTTCAAGTCTGCAACTTGTTATAAGTGCAGTGAGCAAGGTCACATGGCTAAGGCCTGCTTTGCAAAGTCTTCGTCTGTTGCTAAATCTAGCCAGTCAAGACAGTACCGCAACCAAAAGCAGCACTATGTTAACTCTCACCAAGACTACCTAACCCAACCAATGAACCACTCTACCTGTAAAAATGCTCAAACTGATTCGCAACCGGATTTCAGCCTGTTCTCTGTTAAATCAATAAGTCATGCTCCCATCAATGTACAAGTTAATATCAACGGTAAGAGCATCAGCTTCCAACTTGACACTGGAGCATCTCTAACAGTCATAACAAAGAAAGATTTTGACGCTATCACTGGAGGATCAGTGCCTCTACAGCCATGTCACAAGTGTCTAACAACATACACTGGTGACAATGTTCCGGTAATAGGAGAGTGTATGGTTCATGTAAGTTATAATGGTCAAAGTGTTAAACTTCCTCTTCTTGTGGTTGAAGGAAATGGACCGCCATTACTAGGTAGGAACTGGTTAAGTGATCTTAAGTTAAATTGGGAGAGTATTTGTTCATTGAAGAATGTAAAAGAATCTAGTCTTACTTCACTAGATAAAGTTATATCTGAAAATAAATGTGTTTTTGGTAACTCTGGATTACTAAATGATAGAACAGTGAAGTTAAGCATTAAAGATACAAATCCAAGATACTGCAAAGCTAGAGTTCCACCTTATGTAATGAGGAATAAAATTGAAAATGAGCTAAGTAGATTGGAATCTAATGGCATCATAAAGAAGGTAGACTATTCCGATTGGGCGACACCCATTGTGCCAGTGTTAAAGAAGGATGGTTCTATAAGAATTTGTGGAGACTACAAAACTACACTGAATAAGCAAATAGAGCTAAATAGGTACCCTATACCTAACATTGAGGAAATTTCTTTGAATTTGGCAGGAGGAGACAAATTCACTGAATTAGACTTTAGTCATGCTTACACTCAACTAGAACTGCATCCAGATTCAAAAGTCTATACGACAATAAACACACATAAAGGACTCTACCAATATGAAAGACTATGTTTTGGCATATCATCTAGCCCTGGAATTTTCCAAGCTGTCATGGACAGTATTTTTAAGGATATTCCAAATGTTTGTGTGTACTTTGACAATGTGTACATAACTGGTAAGAATGGTTGGCCTGAAGAGTCTGTGAATGATGACTTAAGGCCATATTAAATAAGAAATAAAAACCTTTGTGAAGATAATATAAAAGATGGAGAAGATACAGTCCATTATCAGTCAGAGCTACCTAAACAAAGTATTTGTAACTTCATAAATGATTATGGTGATATGGCAATTTCAAATGTTTTAAAGAAAATACATTAGTAAGAAGGAATGTGATCATCAAACAACTTTGCTAACATCATTAGCACTTACAGAAACTAAAAGAAAATAAAAGGGTAACATCAAAAGAAAAAAAAAAAAAGATTTTTGCCATTTAATACACCCACTTCAAATACTGGATCACAGTTGCAAAGTGATATGGTCCAGAATATTACTCATAAACAGTATTTTTGGTTACCAAAAAGCACTATCAGATTACCTGAGGAAATTGATCAATCAAAGAAATCTATGTCAGTCAAGGATCTGAATAACAGCATAATACTTTCAGATGCCAATTCAAAAATAGTTCCATTAAATCATGACAAACATTCATTGAAAGAAAATTTGCAGTTAATGATAATGTGTATCTAAGAAACTATGGGAGAAAGGAAAAATGGATACCAGGTCAAATTGTTCAAGGTACAGGACCTGTGTCTTATAAAGTTAAAAATAACTTGTGCAGATAATAAGTGTGAATCTGTCAATCCCACCAAATCTGAACAGTTCACACCAACTCAGTTGTTTCACAACCAAGTTCTGTTGATATGAGTGAACCAAGTTGTCTGGAGTCAGAAAATGTAAATTCTGGAGTTAATGATTTAAATCCTAGACCTCCTGAGATAGAGAATCCAGATGGTCAGAATCTTGAGTCACCAAATCAGAAGCCACTGAGAAGGTCAAACAGGACAATCAAAGTCCCAAATAAGTTAGACCTATGATTCTAAAGGTCAAAAGGACTTTGACATTATTGTTTTGTATTTTGATTATGTTGTAGCATATTGTGCATTGTTTGTAAGGATGTAATCTACCATAGTGTTCATGTTACAATATAATTGGTGATTTTAGGATACTATCAATTGTTCTATTGAGAGATGTGTTATTGTGTTCTAAGGGTAAAGGGATGTAATAGATTGAGATAATTGTATTGGTATTATATTTATATTGTTATCTTGAGTGATGTCCCTTACTTGTGTCTCTCGTCACTTCCGTCTGGCCGGTTAACAATAAAAGCTGTTTACATGTTAAGGGCTTCTGTCTCCGTTGTGTAATTCTTAATCTATCTCACTGCACTTATCTCTAACTCTAAAACTTTGGTCTTTATTGTGCTAATGATAAAAGGTTTGTTTGTTTTAATAATTTTATCACCAATGATATTCCTAAACATGCAATCGATTTCTATTATTCTTTTTTGAAGGGTTTTATTTAGTTCGCTCAGTATGCGTAAGAACTTTGTGTAGCTCTGCTAATTCTGAAAATATTAAATTAACCCACTTCTTATTGTCCGATTGAGCTGAAATTTAGCATAGCGGTAGTTCTTCGATGGCATTGCAATAATATCGAAATTTAATCCTATCACATTGCTAATTATTCTTTAAAATTTAATATTAAAAAAGTACTATACTATTTGATTAAAGTGGAGATAACAACATTAAAAAATTCAAGCGATCGCTTGATTAGGGGGCCGTTGAGGATAAACTATTTTCACTTCACGAACTAATTAGGGGTAGATTACCTAGTTTTAGAGATCACAAGCTACTGGACGGATTAAAAAAAAAACATGTTGCCTAGCATCACAATGTGACTTCTTACCTCATTCAGTGTATGAACTTGTCCCATAGCAACTTTTGACTGATTCTTTTTCATAAATTTAATTAAAAGGTGACTTAAGAAAAAGAATGTTGCTGGTATGTAACCAATCGGTAAGGCTGCATACAGGACAACATTATAAAAAATATTTTCATAAAATATATGCTTTCTAATCAAAATTTTAAAAATTCAAAACCTGTAATAGATTGAGATAATTGTGAGGTCAAGGGAACTCACTCTTCTGTATTAGTATTATATTTATATTGTTATCTTGAGTGATGTCCCTTGTGCATTGTACTTCCTTCCTCTCTCCGTGTGGTACCATCATGTAGTTAGACCCAATAAACGTTTTATATACAACCACATGCTTCTATCGTCAATCTATTATATCTAGCGACGAGGATGAAAATCTACTAGAAAGAGCACCTACTTACGCAAAAAAGAGGTTTGCTAGAGCTTATTGGCTAATTATTTCTAGAATAATGGCGCTGTATGGCCAAATAAAACAATTTGATTCGAATGATGAAATCATTCAGGATTACCTAGATAGGTTAAGCTTTTACCTTGAAGCAA